ATCGGTGATATAGCGAGCGCATGATTTTACTCCCACGCCTTGATGATCTTTTCACTGGTGATGCCGTTACCCGTCTGACAGCAGCATCTTCCATACAGTACAATTTGCCAACATCATAGAGCTCGAATTGGTAAGTACGCTGACGTAACTCCACAGGGTTTGCATCACCAGGTACGGCCTCAGCGTCCACCATCTGCGTAACGGCGGAGTGCTCCACTTCAATACAATCCACCTACTTCATTCACCGTCAATGGAGCGAAGGCCAAGGCAGTCTTGGGGAACGCCTCCTCACCATGTTTGTCTTGGAAGCGCTCGAGAAGAAATCGATTACACAGACCAATCGCCTGAGACACGACAAGGCGGATCAAGACTCAGCCGCAACGGCTCGTGGTGAACATGAAGAATGTAATAAATTAATCATATGATGTTCGAAACGATAGTAGACAAAAGCCCCAAACTGTGCACCTCAAAATCACGGTCCTATAGTGTAGTGGTTAGCACTCTGGACTTTGAATCCAGCGACTCGGGTTCAAATCCCGATAGGACCTTTTCTATCCTCTTCACAACAATACTCCCCAGACTTCCTCTCACCTTGCATGCATTCCAATGCGCGGCCGCACCGACCGCCTCCACCCGCCTCCTCGTCACATTTTTCTCCTTATAGCAGTTAAAGAGAGCTCCAGCCAGACTTTTCACTCGAGACAAATCCGAGCTGCACCGGAGTACTGCTTCCTTATTCAACGACACCGGCAAACGAGCCATGGAGTGATAGCAGACAAACTCGACGATGCTCCCAGCAAAGTCAATTTTTAACGCACTACCGCGGATAATAGATGCTAATGAAAAGCGCTAATAGCAATTCGCCGATCAACTGCCGAGACCAACCTATGCAGTCTCAAGGAAAGTGACTCCTTATTAATCGTCCGTAAAATACACACATATAACCGTCACATTATCGCTGCTCACTCGACGGTTCTCTTGCTCTACTAGGGCAGCCTGGACCAGTGCCTTGGCTGGGCTCTCTCCTGAGACACACACAGAGAGATAATTGAGAATGATCATTTTAGTATCTCATCGTATTGGAAATAGTGTAGAGGAACATGCACGTAGTAAACTACTGTATGCATGTTGCCCAGAATGAGGGAATTCCGAGGAAACTGCTCCTCTTTTGCACACTACTACTACTACCCAAACCGCGTTTAAATCTCAATAGAGTTTCACCCGTTTATCGTGAAGTGGCATAAAACTCCATGTGAACTATACAACGTATACGTTTCCGCGAACACCGATACACACGTAAAGTGTGAAATATTTTATACATATCACGGGTAAAGCTCCAATACAATAGTTAGGAGACTCCTAAAGCCAAACTCATACACCGATGGAACTGCCCTGTAGAATTAACAGTCATGTTCATTCCAACCGATGTGCCGCTACCCGAGATCTTAGCTGTCTGCGCTATCACTGCCGCCTCCTGTGCTGAGTACACATCCCAGAGCCCATCAGATGCCTATAAGAAACTCTCA